CTAAGGAGCTGATTTTGGTCTATGGATGGCATACAAAATTCTTTTTTTCTAATGTAACTTTGCACATTTCGGTATTTCAGGAACTAATACAAGCTTTCCAGTTTCAGTAGAACAAACTATTACTTTGTAGCTTTGGGAACAAACTAGGAAAACAGCACTTGTGTATGTTGCTGCAGCCCTTTAAGGGGGCCTTCCTTAGAAAATGTTGTGTCTTACACAGCTGGAGGAATTTCCATCACCAGTGAAGGATATTTCCCTTTTACTCTGACACTGCTGTGTTCTGAAATACTCTGAACCACTCTACTGAAGGACCATGTGCTTTTTTTTATTTTTTCAGTGTGGCAGACTGTTGCATTGATAAACTAACTTCTCTGTTTTTTCTAAAAATACCAGCTACTACTAGGAAAAAAAAAAATCATACGTTTGTCATAACAACCTGTTAATAGTACAGTGGCCACTTTGAAGAGTGGTCTGAAGAGTATTTGCCAAACCTTTTGATCCCTAGTAATCAGAACAGAAGTGCCCAAAATCCAGAGATTAAAGGATTAGGCCTCAAGAAAGACTTGTGGTATTTCAAGAAAATGTGACTGATGCTCACCACTTATTTTTTACAGTGCTGATGAGATTTAGTGTTTAAGGTCCTTTCCTGTTCAGACATAAAAGCTGCTGTAATCAGAGTATTACTAGGGAAAACTACTCTGGTTGGGGATTCAATATGTTTAAATTGTTGAGCCAAGGTTATTGTTTGGATTAGGTTAGGAAGGATGACACTGAAATAAGTAAACCCCAATAGTGCAGCAATGCAGAGAAGAACAAAGAAAAATGTTGGCATTTTTAAATAGCAGTCTGGATAGCCTAAGTAAGCTGGTCATAGCCGTACAAAAAATAACTTGGACTAGCCTAGAAACTAGGTATTGTATATGTCTACACAGCTACTAGAAAGAGAATAAACATTTCCATTGCACCAAAATTTGTATGAAAGCAAAACTGGAGACACTGGAGATGGAAGAAACTTATTAGGTTGGCTTGCCCAGCCCCCTTGTCCCTCAGAATCTACACCCTTGGTTCCCACAGGGCGCCCTGACTTCTGCCACACAGGACCTGACACCAGCAACTAACACCCACCGGGGTCATTCTGCTAGAAAACAAAAGATAAACCAGTTTAGGATATTTGTCAGTCAGGTCTAAAGATTTTCTGCAGACTTCATCTATCTGAACAGCCAGCAGCTTTTTCACAAGAAATACAGGGCTATTAATGGTACCTTGTCTTCTTTGTATTTGAGGGAGCCGTTAGAGATGCGTGAGGGAACAGCAAGACAAAAATCGGTTCTGATGTACAATCATGCCATTTCAAACACCACTGGATTATTATTACTGATTAGGGGGGAAAAAAATCCAACAGCTGTCTGGGGAATTCCCTCAGTCTGGATTATTGATTTAATAGCTACACATTGTCTAGACCCTACCACTCCACTGATGTTTGAAAATGCTGTACATGAGTTTATATAATTATTTTCCCTATTATTGCACAAAAATTATGTATTTCAGTCTGATTTTTAGATGAATTCAAGATTAGTTGTTACTTCCACTCCACATAATAGAAATACGAAATAGCAATTGTATCTTTTAAAGTAAAAAACTAAGATATTTAGAGATTAAAAAAAAATCCACGTTTTCAGAAAGCTGCTAAGTATTAAATTTCACCTGCAATTCATTCCAAAATTCTGCTCTTCCCTCTCTCCCCTCCAGGAAATTGGAACTAGAAAAACAAAGCAGAAATTTAAGGTCGGGAAACTATTTAAGAGTGAAGGGGCTGTAATTGTTACAGTTGCTTAGGTTACGGTGATATGCTTTGGATGCAAGTTTGACATCCTCTCTGGTACATTTAGAATAAATAAGTAAACAAACAGACTACTGCCTGCTAGCTTTAAATTCTTTGCCTTCATCTGTGGGTGCTGCAGTCAGCCTGTCTCTGGTTTACTTCCTTATGAGTGGGTCCAGCCTGCGCAGGCTGTGGTTTTTGTTCTGCGGGAGGCTCCCTGGGCATGCCCTGCCCGTGAAGCACACCAAGAAGAGCCATGGTGTGAACAGCAGCTTGTGTCACATGGAGCACGAGACAGGGCAGCGCTGCGTGGCACACTGCTGCCACAGAGGCAGCGCCTTTGAGTGTGGGTTGGGCTGCTTTGGATTCTTGTGCCTAAAAAACACAGGTGGTGACTGAGAAAAGGAACATCTTTCAGACCTGAGAGTGTAAATGCGGTGCAGTAAACAGTCTCCCCGTGACCGCTTAACCCAGAGCAGGGTAATCTAAGCAGTACAGACTGTCCTGGACCAATAAACTAGCATACAGGGAAGAATGACACACTGTGTCATACTGCCCCAGTGAAGCATCCCTCTTTCCCAGGATGGAGGTACAGCAGGCAGCAGCAAGTCCTGCAAAAGACTCTTCCTTCTAGAGGTACTAAAAACTGCGGTCATACTTTACTACAGGCCTCTCTCATACACATGAAAGTTTAATTGAATTTAGTTCCATCACATACTAAAGACAATACATAATGCTTAACATGATTCTTGATCCAAAAATAGTAAGCATTTTTGCATATATATAATGCTATTTATTTGTTTAGCATGGGACTTATTAAAACAAACAAACAAACAAACAAAAACTTGAGCAAAGGTTATCTGCTGCTGTCTGTTTGGCATGATACATTTGCAATGATTTTTATGGAAGAAAATGTAAATGTTGTCCTAAACCACTACCGTTTCTCTGTTTCTGACAAGTAATGTGATATATACAGTGAAATCCTGTCCCTTCCTACAAGATTGGCTTTGATAGTATTCTAGGTCTCTACTAAATGTCACAATTTTTATGAGGAGCATGGAAAATTCTATATAATGAATCTTTAACCCAATAAGAAGATATTATGGACAAAAAAATGTGTCTAAAAGTGTAAAGATAATAGCTTAATACAAAAATCTCATGCTTTTATATTTTTCTTGGGGGAAGAAAGGGAGATCACGAAATTTGTACCCACAGAAGGAAGAAGGCCATAGGTCACAATTAAATAACGTATGTTCTGTGGTCTAATCAAAGTTAAGCACTGTATATTGATCCTCAGCAGTCTTCTGCAATAAACTATTCTATCATCATACCATCTATGCAAACCTTTCTGTCCTGAACCACTCCTACCAGCTGTACTGATTGAGCTGCTCTGCTCTGTGACCTACCTCCTCCTTCACCGGGAGAGCAACAGCAGCGAACCACCTCACTTGGAATCTTAACTTTTCTGACAGAGCCATTTAATTCTGGGAGCTTATAAACCTAAAAAACAAAGAAAACCAGAAACACTTGTAAAATACAGAACAGTGATGTATTACTCTAATTATGGAGGTCCCAAGCAGTAGGTCCCAAGTACAGCTCTTTATGATCACAAATATCGATCTGTTTGAAATCTGCATCTAGTCTGATGTAGTCTTCATTTCAAAATGAGAAAAACAGTCAGCATGTTTGACTCAACTTTTAAAAAATTATTAAATGGAAAATGGGAATCTGCTGACAAATAATGTTGGCTAAATCTTATACTAAACCAATGCTGTGCTTTCAGATGTTTGGGGTTTTTTTTCAGATAAATACTGAGATAAATTTTCCTAGCTCCTTATGTATCTTGCTATTGGTTGTCATCTCAAATATAAGCCTATTCTCTACCCAGTTACCAACTATGTATTAGAGAATTAACCACAACTGTTAAGGTCACATCAGGTCAACTTTAAAGTGATAAAACCTTAATGCAGTAAGGGATCAAGAATGTAACTAAATCTCTTATTTCTGTTTTCTACATCTCAGGAGAAATAGCTTAAAGTTCACTAAGAAATGCTTATCTAAACATACTAATCTAGTCATATTTTTTCAAATATAGGTAGTTGAATTCTAAATTTAGTTGATAAATATTTAAATACAAATATCAAATAAATCATGCTGTGAATTTCAGAAAAATTGTGCAAATACACAGTCCTAATGTGTAAGTATGTTGTTATTCCCAGAGCGGTCTAAACAAAAACCCCCTTGTGTTCCTGTGTTTGTTAACATATTTAATCATTTATGATATAATAAATTACCCCTCTTTTAGTTATTAAGATTTAGCTAAAAGCTGGCTAGAAAACCAGTGGCTCTAATCTCTCTAATCTCAACCACTGATGTTGTTGCCTCAGTATCTAACCAGCAGAGATCCTCTAGCTAATACTTTTGTTATTTTTAAGGTGTTATGATCTTATAGCTATATCAGACAAGAACTTTAAAAATGGTAAGAATATTACTAGGATGGTATTTTAGCTCTGAAAAAAGAAATAGTACTTTTATTTTGAAAAAAAATTATTTGTTGCTGTTTTGAAAGAAAATGTTTCTCCTTTTAGCTTTCATACTGCCGGCATTGTTTCCCTTCTCCAGCTCCTCTGTTTCTCTTAAAACCCCCCAGAACCTCATTAAACCTCATTAGAGATGTTTCTAAAACCTCACTTTGGTTATGATGCTTTAATCTCTCATGGAATCTACAATTTATTTCTTAACAAAATCTGTCTTTCCCCCTGTGGAGGCTTGGTTTTGACGATTGACCTCGCCCTTTCTTGTTTCTCCAAATCAAAAGCATAACTGATGGAGTTAAATTCTGCATGTCTTTTTTTTTAATCTCTTGCTATTATTATTAGGAAAAATAAAAATAAATTATTGTAACGGACTAACTTCTTGGCTGACAATTTTTTCAAAGTCTCCATAACCTTTTTTTGTAGGCTCACTATTTTCCCCCTTTGTGTCAATACTTTTGTATCAACATTACTGTTAAGCACTTTCATTTTCTATATTGATATTTCTATTTCTGCCTTCCACAAAGCACATTTATCCCGTCTTTCATTTCACCTCCATTTATCCCATTACACTCCCATGTCTCAGTGCTCAAAGTTAATCTCCTCCAAGCATTTCTTCTGTTTTGCAACTAATACTTTGGCAGAAATCCTTCAACTACGCACAGACCTTCTACTTCCAGACAGCTAAGTCCTCCTGATTTCCCCCGTGCAAATCTCTTCCTTAGAATCATCCTCAGCCCGTGGCACTGGGGGTACACAACTGTATCACTCTTGCTATGTAGATGCCCCGCTACCTACAGGGGCGCGGAACGGCGGGGCCGTGTCGGACGGAGGGGCAGCATCTGCTGGAAACTTGGGTGAGGAAACCAGAGTGAATGAGCAGGTGAGTGGGAGAGCGATGGATGATGGAGCGAACGGGCCCGTGGGTGACTGTGAAGGAGAAATGTAGCAAAATCAAACAGTGCGGGGGTGAGAGACAAAAATAATGGAGAGATTCAAACACATGGCAGAGGACAACGCTAAAAACAGACAACAATCACCGAAAACTGGAAACACAAACTGCAGGGAGACAACAGCCCCAAGGAGCTGTGAACAGGGTGGAACAGTTGCAGTAACGCTGCAAACGCCGAGCTCAGTACGCTGCGGGGGAGGGACGGCGGCAGGACACTGTGCAGCAAGGCCAGAGGGCCCCAACAGGGGGGCTGTAATTAATACTTCGCAATCAGAGTAATTAGTTCCACCTCAGACCTTATCGCCCCGCCTCACCCGAAGTCGTGGCGGTGCCGAGCCGTGCCCGGCGGATCCCGGAGCGGGGCCCGGGGCTCCCGAGGGCCCTCAGCCGGCAGCAGGAGGGAAGCGAACCGTCCCTCGGCCCCGGGGCTCGGCGGCGAGAGCGAAGCGAACCGCCCCTCGGCCCCGGGGCGGAGGCCGAGCCG